TTCATTTTAAGACTCAAGCCTTTTCCAATGTATACAACTAAACACTCATTTATAAAATACTTCTTGATTAAATTCATAGCTAAAAAGTCTTTTTACAGCTTGAGGTAATAACAAACAACGTCAACAATAACTTTAGAAGTAAGTAAAGTGAATTAGAAATTGGAATTTAGTATCTCTTTGCAAATGTGTGTGTGTTTGGAGGGTGGAGATTTTTTTGTCTAATTTTTTTGAAGAAGGGTAGAAATTCATATATAAATTTGTTCAAACATTGCATATTAAATTTGAGTATTGAGCATTTAAAGCGATATATAATTCTTAAAATATTATTAATTTTCAGCCCAGTTGACTAATAGCCTTAAACTTCTTACTAATTTGACATGATTGGATCCAATAATCATAAGATGAGATTTAGTTTGATATGACAGTTCAAAACCATTTCTTTATGTGTAATGAATTTGTACGAAAAATACATCTAAATAAGTGAATATAAACCTAATTATGCATTTTGATTCTTTAAATAACTCGATTGGTGTATGGAGAAAAAGGCATTTCGAACGCAAAATTGGAGAAGTAATTGGGATGTTTCTAGATTTGTCTCGATTCCAAACAGTGGGAAGAAAGAGGAAGAGAAAATGGAAAGAGTGGTGGATACAAAGCTCGGAGAGAGAGAGAGATGGAAGAATAAAACGGAAAAAGAACGAGGAAGGTAAAGAAAGAGTGAGATGAAACATTTAGGTGTCGTTTGGATGCAGGTTTGTAGTGAGGAATTTGTAAGGAATTTTAAAACAATCTCTCATTATGTAGGATTTTAATACAATCATGTGTTTGGGAAGATAGGAGATTGTGAGCATTAGAGATTTCTAAATCTCTCAACTTCAACCGATTATTTATCTACTTTTGGAGTTTTTCTTCTTTCTTTTCTCCAACTAGCCTCAATCGATAATAACATTGAAATAATCTCTGACCTCCTCCGAAGAGCATGGACGAGGATTGTGGCATGATGTTGTTGAGTGGAAGCTTGCATTGCGATGATTTGGAGATTCAGGGGCGACCAATCCCCTCCTTCCACCTGAAGAACGCCAACATCTCCTTATTCTTCCGACGATCTGGATTTGGAGATTCAGGGGCGACCAATCCCTCCTCCCCCCGACCAATCGATGATGCAGAGTTTCTTCTTTGCATGGAGCCGAGACTGAGTTGGTTTGGAATACGCAGGCGGAAAACAGAGCAGTATTATTGTGCTGGACCTTTCCACCAATTCTTTGACTAGTAAAATCCCGGAGACCCTTTGGAGCTCCAACGGTCTGTTTAACCTCATTCTTTTCTCGAATTCACTAGAAGGTGAGCTCTTGCAGAAGCTTGAAACGTGTGCGATTGGTTTGAATGCTGAATCTGGGTAGATATTGCTTCGTCGATGGCCAAGGAAAAAAAGAATTAGGTTTTATGGAGTTCTCAGGCACGCCGTAGTGGGGAGATTTGATTCAGAGGAGCGGCCGATTAAATTAATTGAATCTATTTTATTCTTCGATATAGGCAGATTATCTTCGTCGATTCCTATACCCATAAACTCGTCTTCTCTTCCTCGCCTCGCAGCAGCAATTTTGGGCTTCAAAATATCACCCATCTCGTCGTCACATCCATCTCCCAGCAGTGATTTGGAGAAGCAAATCGTATAGCGTGTGTTCTCGTTGTCGAAGATTGAGAAGATGGGAGAAAAAGATAGAAAGTGGGCAAAATTTGTATTTTAATTTATGTGGTCAATATCGTATTCCCATCCAAACATAGATTTTGATTGAAATTATGCATATTAAAACACAGGTGACACGCTACGACACAACACAAAACTGCGATCAAGTGTAATCGCAGTCCAGAAATGCAGTAAAGTGGCAAGTTCTAATTATCAACTGGGGGTCAAGATCTACTGCCTACTCCGTGAATATCTATTATCTAGCCAACTAAGTCAATTGATTGTGGTTTTAACTAATAATAGTAAGAAAGTACTCTTAGGATGATTTCCAAGCTTGATTGACGAAACCGAGCTCCAAAACCACTCTTAGGAGGTGTTCTTCGCACTTTCTCTCTCTAGGGCTCTATTTTTGCTCTAAAAAGTAGATTTTCTCTCTTTTTGCTCGAATTTGGATTAATACCCAGAAAATCCCGATCACACGGGCAGGGCACACGGCCGTGTGGCTTTCCCAGCTGGCCATGTGAGTTATGCAAAACGCGGCGTTTCGATTAAGTGCCTTCAGCCATCCTACACGACCACAACCACACGGCCGTGTGGCTTTTATGCATGCCCGTGTGGCTTCTCAGCTTCTCGCCAAACGTCCAAACTTCGTCCGATCGACCCCAAACTCGTTCCTAAACCTTCATTCACGTACTAGGACCTGAAATATCACAAACAAGAACAACCTAGCGTGAAATCGGCCTAAAACACGAGAATCAACATCTCAAACGACTCAAGAATAGGGGGTAAAATATGTGCAATTAACGGTCTATCAAACTCCCCCACACTTAACCGTTTGCTTGTCCCCAAGCAAACCTGACTCAAACCAATACAACTCTCCAGACCTCTATAGCAACATGAAACCCCGATCATCGGCAGAGGATTTTCTAGATCATTTAGCAACTTACAAGGTCAACTGGTCTTCTAAGACGCCTCCTATTTCTCTCAATGCGAGTACTAGACTCAAGCCAGGATCATGAGAAGCAGTGGAACTAAACCAGTCAATTCATGGATAAGGAGACTCACACCATTCACAATCAAGGACTCGTTGTACCGGGGTGCTCTTTCAATTCATTTCACCGTTGGAACCCCTTTTTCACTTTCATTTTACTCTTTTTTTTCTTTTCATTCACTTGGCGGGGGTTCCAACTGCAGTCTTTTGCACGGTCGACCCTTATTAGTCGAGCAATAGCAATTTCTGTACATCTGGCGTTCGCCAGAGTACTTCTTTTAACTCCTTTTCCTCAACTCGTGTGGAGGGTCAATGAAATTAAGGGGGGTCGGAAGCTCTATCCTTGCCCTTAAAAACACATCCTTAAGTAGGCAAACCGTTCAACGGGTGGAAATTTTACTTGTACTAGAGACAACTTAGCTTCACCTTGTAGGCATACCCCACCAAGGATCACTAAAATCTATTCCAAAACCCGATTTTTGTGCAATGAAAGGTGCCGCACACGTTGGGCTTACCCCATGTCTTAGAATTTCAAATTTTTGACATGGAGGACCAACTGCTTTTTTATTTCACACTTGAGCACCCTTTTTCGATACACGAGTCGACAACACAACATAAGAGGAGTCATCAATATCACATGAATCAACGGTCCTAAATCCACTAGTTCACAAAATCAACCGGCACAGTAGAGGGACAGATAAGAAAAATCTTATACTTCAACATCCACCATAGTGCTACAACTACCACCCTAGGTTGCATATAACCATAAAGACTGTCAATTCAAAGCATACTGAGCAGGAATTTGCAGGGAACAGTACTTGGAGCCCTCAATTCATCAAATTGGACAATGGACTAGGCTCCAAGCACACAAACTCATCTAGCAGTCAAAGATAGAGAAACACCCCCCCCCCCACCCACACACACTTAAGCACGACATTGCCCTCAATGGAGCAGAGGGAAAGATAAGGGGAACAATGTTACCGGATTTAAATACTGCCAGGAAACTGGAAGGGGACCAGTCAGCGGGGAACATATGGAACGAACGGACGGTTCTGCACGAAGGGAACATAAAGAACACACTAGCACACTGTGCGTTATGGATCAGAGTTAACCCAGATGGCCACAAAATAGACAATCCACAAAAGAAAACCAAAAGTACAAAAACGAACGACAGACTCAGTTCAAGCTCCGCACACACATGGAGCAAACATAAAAAGTCTAAAACAAAAACACACTCCGAGGGGCGACGAGTACAGACTACTCATCGCCAAGGTTGTCGAAGTCGATGTCGTCCATGAAGGCGTCATCTCCGGCGGCTGGGGGCGACACGGAAAACGAAATCACCCCGCTAGATAATGTTTCAAACAGTCGAAATAGCGGTACATGGGCCGACCCGGGTTGATATTTAAACATACTTGCCCTATATTGCACCCATCTAACGTTTATACTTGGGCCTTAGGTTAGATTTTATTGTGATAGTCAGAGCGAGTCAGATATTAAGCAATGTGACAGATTCTTCACCATTCGAATTGGTCATTCCTTCGCGGCAAATTTTATTACATTTTGTCAGTTGTTTTATGCGTTTTTCTAAGTTCTAACATGGCACACAACCTATGAATGATGATGAACCCTAACATGAAAAAAATACACCACCTTTTTATTTATATTTATGTGAATTGCTTAATTAATCATTCTATAGACCCATTAATTCATTCAATCACGCAAAATTACATATAATATCAAGTTTTGTCACGAAAAAATTAGAAAACATGTCTACAAATGATGATCCAAAACTCACTTACGGGCATTACCACTACCTCTTTTGTTAAGGATATTTAGTAAAAGTGGTATTCGATTGGGTTAGAGTGTCACATGTTTTTCAACCAATATGATATTTTATTTGAGACTTCATATAACTTTAAAAGCTATTCATCCAAGAGGCATTACCACTATCTTAGTTTTGATCTAATTCGATTGCTGCCTCATGCGTTTTGGCACGACATAATTTGTAGTTTATTTTCATATAAAACTTCATGCATAAAAGATGCAATTGAATAATAAAATCTTCAAAATATTGTGTTTGAAGTATAACATGTGAAACAACTTAGTCAATCAGATAAAAAAGCACTCATCACATGATGGTAAAAACAAGCAACAAAAATGAGTACTTAAATTAAGTACCATGTATATGTAACAACAAAAAAGTACAACCAGTGGCCAGTACCCACCAACTCCCAAAATAAAATTAACCCAAATCCTAAAAAGGATGAGAAAAAATAAGAGTTATTTACCCCGGTCCTTGGGGAAAAAACTGTAAAAAGGAAAGAAAAGCAAATTTAATTAAAGGGTTTAAGGCAAAGGAAGCAATTAAGATTCAATCTCAAACCTACTCTTATTTGAGCCCATGGAAATGTCAATCTCGAACAAGTTATCATCCTCTTCGATCACCGCGAATTCACGTTTGTGGTCTTTGCAGCTTGAGCAGATCACGAATTCCCCGCCAGGAAGCGCAATCTCGATCAAGCTCTCTTCGTCCGAGATGTATCCTCCGTCCATGAAATCCGGGCTCTGGAACATGTTCCGCTGAAACGGCCAGTAGTCCACCTCCGATTCCTCGCTCGTCGACGACAGCCTCCCTTTGCACCCGCCGTCGGTCAGCTCTCTCCGCCTCCTCGCTTCTTCTTCTTCTTCTTCTTCTTCCACCACCTCCTCCTCTTCCTCTTCCTCTTCCTCTTCCTCTTCCTCGATCAAAGAACTTTGCTCTTGTTCCTTTGAATATTGCCGCTGAATATCTTCGAAATCTAGGGTTTGCTGAACTAGGGCTATCTCTGTAATTGGGGTTTGTTGCGATTGGTGAAATTTCGATCTGGGGATAAGGAGGAGTACTAGTGCTGTGAGGAAGATGGAAGCTGAGAATCCATAGCCAAGGAGAGTGGATAGGATTAGGGGAAGGGGAGAGAGGAAAGATATGGTGGAAATGTGGGTTCTGAAGGAACTCATATTCTCTGTTTTTTTCTAGGGTTGATCAAACTTGAAATGAAGAGGAATAAGTTATGGGTAATCTAAGCTACAGTGGTGAGAAGGAAGAACCGGAAAGTTTTGCACATTGGGTGAGGATGGATAGAGATGAGATCAATGAGAATGTATGTACCATCATCTCCTTCGTTCCCCCTTTAGGTGCAGATCTAGAGGACGAGCGAGAAGGCAAGACAGATGTTGCCTGAACTAGTTGGAGAGGAGGAAGGGAGTAAAGAAATGAGGGGTTTTGATGTGTAGTGGTTTGTTTTTGAGACTTTGGCTTTTGGTTTTGGATGAAGCTTGGGAAGTGTGAGTCTGTGAAATGGGAAGCAAAGTGTTCATCAACCAGACGAATTAATATGGGATTAGAGATGTTCTACCATTCATGTTGCTTTTTGTTTATGCATGGGATTGGGCATTAAAAAAAGCTTGAGAGGGTATTCTCCTAGGAAACCCCAAAACAGCAACAAACAGCTGGTATCGCTGCATTGGGTGACAGTAGCAACTAGCAAGTATTAAGTAGGGATTAAGGGGTGGGGTGGTGCATGGATAACTGGGAAGAAGCCATGTGCTGATATCTGAGCTCACCACATGGCAACTGCTCCTCCTTGAATCAAACCAAAGTTAGGATACAATGAGGAAAACAATGGAGAAGACTCAAAAGTTTTTTTTTTCTTGGATATTAAAAAGGAAACAGAGAAAGAGCAGCAGAAAGAGTAAGAGGAAGGGAAAGTAGTTATACTGCCACAAGGAGTTCAGAGTCTGGGAAATATGAATTGTTTATAGTTGGCTAATTGGTGTTGGTTTAGTTTAAATGAATCTCTACTTACCGTCCTAATATTTATTATTTGCGGTTCATAATTTCAAAACATAAGACGATTTTGTCTTTCTTCCAACTAAAACCCTAAACCTATCTTACCTGTCCTCTCACAACCCAACTTCTCCCACAACTACCGCCGACCAACTTCCTCCTTCCTCCGTCCTCCCGCAACCGGCACCAACCAACCTCCTCCTCCCGCAACCGCCGACTTGGTCCCGTCTCCTCCTCCCTCACTCCCCCCTTCACAAATAGACGGCGCGGAAGAGAAAGGTGCTCGCCGTCGAGGAAGGAGCTCGTCGTGCGGACGGGGAGGATGGGGTCCAATGTCGTCGGGCGGACGGGGTCAGCTGCCGCCGTGCGGACGGGGTCCGATGCATCCGTTCGGACGGTTGCGCCGGCGATCTTTTTCTCTTCAAAAAATCAATTATTAATTATTTATAATTTAATTAAATATTATGTTAAATTTTGATTTATGATAATTACTGTTGAATGCAAAACACATATGGAATTCAATTTGGTAGTTATCAAACATGTATGGAATACAATTTATTAATATGTTATTTTTTTCAAATAAATAAGAATCAATAACATAGTATTAACGGATAATAATTATATTATCATGTGAAATATATATGATCACGGTTGAACGCAAAACAATCTTCCTCTTTGACTGTGAATTGACAACAGAAACAATCTTCCAATAATTATCATGTCTAAGCTCATAATAAGTAATATTTTTTATTATTAATTATTTTCCTCTTTAATTGCCACCAACAGAAATAGGAGAAATAGAATTTAATAATTAATTACCTATTTTACCTATTTTGATCACTTAAAGTAATTATTTTTTAATTTCTTTGCGTAAAAATAGTTTAGTGAATAAAAATGGTGAGGCTGGATTTATATTATGGAATTAGCTAGATTAATTAATATTTAATCTAATCGGAACAACGATGACAGTAACAAAAGATGAAAGCATATCTTCCCCTTTTACACATTCTACCTCTCTCAAACCCTAAACTCTAATTCCCAACAAATAGCTAACTTCAAGCTCAATCCATCCAATCTTACTACAACATTATCTTAGAGGTAAAATCGTTTCTACTTCCACTAATAACATTTGTTTGCATCATTGAAATACACATGATAGGCTCAAGAAACACCTTTATATGATTCATAGAGCCCCCAAAAATCTCGATGGAAATCTTAGCACTATTTATCTTTTCTTGTACGGGATGTCCAATTGAGAAATGGTCAATTCCACCCTGTTCGTATCCATATTTTAGAGGATCAACGAGAGTTTCATTAGTGATCGTGAACTCGCCTTGCGCCAGTAACCTTCAAATTGGCTCTGGACGGCTTGCGCTTCACGGTCAACTCCCCTTCTTCACGGTCTTGCACGATCGTGAACTCCTGCCTTTAGCCGTGAACTTGCGCTTTTTCACCCCTTCTCCCGGTTTTCGATCCTTTTCGCCAATCCTTCAACTCTGAGGCTGGTTCCACCTGTTAAATCCTGAAAAGCACTCAAACACGAAGAACCTCGCGTAAAACCAACCTTCAATGAGCAAATTTGGCACAAACATCTAAGTGCGACGGACGCAAAATATGAGTAAATAGGCCCGAATCAACATTAATTTTATGTTTTCTATTTAGTGATTTAGATAGAGATCAAATAATTATAGTATGTTCGGCAAAAACAAAAATCATTCCCAACTACCCACGTCTCATTAGGCATTATATTCAATTTATTTCCTTAATTAATAATCAACGAGATTAATATTTAAAATTATTAATTGATAACATATTTATTATATTCGCCTATCTCTCCCTCCAGCGTTATTTGCGACAAACCAAACTTAATTATAACCGAGAATCCATTTCCCTAATTAACTCCTTAATTTTGTTTTATATGTTGTGGTAATTGCCAATTTGCCATTCATGGATTCCTCTTTTTGCCGCTGCTTTCATTTTTTGCAATGATTGTTTGTAAATTATTAATTATTTAATAAGTATTTTATAGTCCTCCTAACTAATTTAATAATTTTGAATCCTTATCTCGTTAAGCACTACCAATCTAATATAATATAATTATAATTAATTACAACTTTACCTAATTTACTGAATTTATGACTACCGACATCTTTCCTAATTAAATGATAATATTGATATTGATATAAAATAATAACAATAATTCCCACTAATCCACCCCACTTACGGCAGAAACCTTTTTCTACTATCATTTAATACTAGCGCCAGGCCCGGCCCGTTGGGCGGGTAAACTAAACATAATATTATCATTCGATAAATGTTGGAACATGAACTCAATTGAAAACGTATTAATTTTTGGTAACTTTCAGTTAAAAATTGTTCGGTTAAAGTGTTTATAAGAGAAGCTGAAATTAAACAATTGGGATGTAGTCTTGCAAAAATAATAATAAGCATCACATCGGTAATGTGTTGCAAGAATCTATCTATCTATCTATCTTCTATACATAATATTATGGCAATTCAAAAGTAATTGTTTGCCACCTAAGCACTTGGAGAGCTCACAAATTGCCAAGGTGGAAAATATTTTTACAAAAAAAAAAATAGTTATTGATATATTTACGGAGCTATCTCTCTCTTCATTTAATATTTCATTTCCCTTTTATCATTTTTTTGTATTATATCAATGTACACAATAATAAATAATGTATGAAAAGTGACATGTATTACATTTGTTATCTCTAACTTTTTTAATATTTATTTTTCTTTTTCAATACTTCCTTAATGTTTTTGTTTTACTTTTGCATTGTATAGATGTACGCAACAATAGACTAATGTCTTTGAGTCACACATATAACTTTTTTCTCAACCAAAATATCTTATTAAAGCTCACTAAGTAAATTTTTAATTCACTTTTACAATAATTTACAAATATGTTACATTTTGATGAACAATTTATACAAACACACATACATAATAACATTTTATTGCGACAAAATAACGATGAAAATTAAAGAGAGAACAAGAAACGTTTGAATAGAAACTTGACCAAGCAATAAAATCTATTTCTTAAACAAAACCTTATTCATTCTAATTAAGTGAAAAAATATGAATCATAGGTGCAATAATTTACAATGTATCCTAAGTTCAAATTACTAATATTTTGCATTTTTGCTCTAGATCGTGTTAATTTAACAAACTCTACTGAAGTTTTACGTCATATGTTAAGAAATTTAATTTTTAGACTTGGAGTAATAAATTTTCAAGGATTATAAATCAAAAATTTTAAAATGACTTCGGTATGATTGTTGATGAACTTGACTTCATATCTTAAGATGAAACACGAGATACATTAAAAAATGATACATGTGAAAGTTAGATGAATATTTGCTAAACTGTATGTTAAACATCATGTGTTCATCAACCACTGACCTATGAAGCAAGATTAGAGAAGTTAATCATCGTAAGAGGTATGATCTTTCTTAGCAAACACATGCATTTTTTTTGCAATAAAACAAATGCATAAATAATAATATATTTGCGAAATAAAATAATTCAATAAAAATTCAATGGAACAAGAATAGATTACCTCATTGGATAAATGAAGATGATAAGTAAGAATAACTTTTCTCTTACTTATAATATGTCCTTCCATCCCTTATTTTCTTTTACAGTTGTTCATATTTCCTTTATTTTCTTAACATTTTACAAATCCCGGTAAAAAACAAGCGTTAATTAAACTTAAAAATAATTAAACTCTTTTTAATATATAGGCTTATATATTGACAATACATGTGGCAATACAAAAAATGCATATATTAGTATAAGTAATGAAATTTTTATTTCTAAACAAATACCAAACTTAAATAAATTTTAGCAAATGGAGGTTCTACAAGCTGTAAAATTATACACTAACACACCATATTAAGATCAAAATCCGTATGTGAGTATCTTGGATTGAGATTCTAAAACAATATATAAACAACGATAATGAGTCTCAGTTAGTCCAAATTAATTTTCGGAAATTAGCAATTGATACATATTGTATAAGAGACTAAATACAAATAAGATCTTACAGTAAACTTCATGAACATTCAAAGTGTCAACTTCAAATTGGGATGAAGAAATTTATCCAATAATAAAGTATATATACAAAGAAACTCTCCATAAAATGTCTTCATCCAAATAACATGGATTCATATAAGATAGAAAAAATTGTACATGGACGTTGTATACCTTTGTGACATGGTTTATGATTAGAGAATTCAAACAGTATAAGTGAATGTGCTAAGTATTGAGAATTTTAAATATATAGACACACCACATACTCACTTATCAATACAAAATATAATAAATTTAGAAGGTCTAAAATAGTTTAAACATATAGATAAATTGAATTAATGTCAATGATAAAATGAACATCTTCGGCCAACGGGCCGGGTAAAAAGCTATTGGTATATGAGATGAACTCAATTGAAAACGTTTAATTTGTTTTGGTAACTTTCAGTTAAAAATTGTTCAGTTAAAGTGTTTATAAGGGAAGCTAAAATTAAACAATTGGGTTGTAATCTTGCAAACATAATAATAAGATCTTGCAAACATAATAATAAGCATCACATTGGTAATGTGTTGCAAGAATGGTATATGAGATGACCGGAAAAATGTAAATAGAAATACCAACATAGCACAACAAAAACTGACCGGTGAATTTGGTAGTTTAAATTTAACCATCAGAGTAAAAAAAAAATAGAACTCTTTATTAAAGTAAACTCATTATGGGAATAAAAAAAAAGTAAACTCATTATTCTGACAAAATAATCGAAAAGCAAAGTCATTGTAATTAGATAGCTAATGAATTATAATTCAATCCAACCAAGGCCAAACTTACCGGCCGACCAAAACCACAGGTCAGATTTTGACCTCCCTCATCCGCCCCATCTCTTTCCAGAAACACATAATTCTGGAACCCTTCTTTCCTCCGTCTCCTTCCCATAGTTGCCGGTTTCATGTCGGGAAGGTTCTTACCCTAGGTGTGCCCATCGCGCTGTAGAGGAAACCAATCCAGACACCGAGGCCGCTCCCGACTACGCCACTTGAAGTAATTGGTGGTCCGTTTCTGAAGTAATTGGCGCTCGCCCTAGCTGTGCCCATCGTGGTCCGTTTCTGAAGATCTAGATCTGAAAAAGCCCCAAAAATTGATTCTCTCAAGTTCCTGGACAGTACCATCAGTGGTGGGAGAGCGCGCAACCAAAACGGAAGAAGAAGGCCATCAATTGCGTCGGTCATCAAATCTTCTTGGGTGTTCGTCAATGGTTATAGAGGATCGAGCCAGGGCAGAAGAGGTACCTCTTTGCTATTGATTAGGGCGTGCATGCCTTCTGGTTTGGGGTTCTCCAATGGGTATGGAGGGTATTGGGTTGGAAGGCAGTAGAATCCACCAATTGCAAGCCCTTCCGCTCTTCTCCAGTTGCTCAGATTACCTGTCGCTCAATTAGAGGGACTATCCAGCAATCACCGTAACTGTAGGTTTGTCTTTTCCCCCGAGAATGGTTTATTAAGCTGTGGATCCACTCTGAATTGTAAGAAAGCCAAATCCATAACATTTTTTTCGAATCCAGGAACAGGAATTTTGATGATGGGTAAGCAATGGAGAAGCATTGAGATGGAGAAGAAGCACAGCCTCTGTGAGGGTACAGTAGCTCAGGCTCCGGTTCTTTCCTGTTGTTAGAGACTGGTGTGGCATTGTCAGGTAAGTTTAACACAACCTTGATTTATTTTACAGATTATGTGTGTTAGATCGAAAAACTAAGGTGTGGTAGAATAACAGAAGGTCAAATTGTTTTGTGTGGAAGTCGAAATAGTAAATCCAATAAACCAACGAATAGAAACACTATCATACCCAATACTGGTGGAAAAGACCAGCAAGTACAAAGATAAGCAAATTAATATTGTATGCTGGGAAAGTTTTAATAAGTAGAACAACCCTCAAGAGAATGAAGTGCAAATAGCCCTCTAATATATAAGCTAACTGAATAACTTGCGGAGGACTAAATTGAAATCATTAGTCACCGGGTTAAAGTTGCCGACTTCAACCATGAACTTAAAGGAATTGCCCCTTAGATAAGCTAAGAGGTTCCTGAAGTTGTTGGACCACTCCTTGTCACTCTCCTCAATGATGCGACTTGCTATCCAACGGAATTTCCCAGTTGTGAAGATAAGCGTACCCTCATCAACTCCATTAGCAACAATCATACGCACTAAGTACTTCAATTTCTTAGCTGACCATAAAACATCAACATCCTGTACTTGTCCAGCAGAAATGTAGAGACTACCCTGGTATGTGAATGAAAAAAATATATTGAATCCCAAGTAATGCCAAGACTATTGATTATTAAATCCAGTGAAACTCTAAATGAATAATTAAATCCCCTCCAAGTTCATAGAAAATGCTCAGTTCAAAGCCGCTATTTGAAACCCCTGCAAACTTCCAATCAAAACGTGGTAACATCATGCATGTTTCTGATTTCTCCTCAATGAAATTTTACCAGGTCAACGATACTATTATCAATTTGGCAGAATAATCAGTTTTTTACTGTTCGGATAGGCTCCAGTAACTTAATTACAGTAAGGTAGGGGAAAAAATGAGACAGAAAAAGAATCAAAGAGTACAAAAACCCACCTGATTATTGATGTCATTCTTGTAAAGGTTCAGTTCTGGGATTGAGCAGGGTTCGCTCACCCATATAACATCCTCAAAGGTGTAATCAATGTCCAGATTGACATTTTCCAAACTATGACATGAGCAAACAGATTACAAACTGGTTCAAGCCAATATAACAACCCAACTAGCGGGTGTAACTTAGAAATTAGATGCTTACATATGAAGCAGAGTGTGTGCAATCGGATAGTGCAAGTTCCAATAAGTCTTGGTTGCATTTGAGGCCACACAATACGCTTGGCCTAGAATTAGAGCATACATAAATTGTGAAAGTCAGAAAACCAAATATTCGCTACATAAAATCCAACCTTAAACAGCAAAGTAACTATAAGTACCATTGAAATGGTGCACAACAACAAAAGTAAAAACCACAACAACTCCTGGGTTTGGATGGTTCGGCATCACAGCATCAAAGTGGTCAATTAAGTCATCCCATAACACTATTTCCACAATAGGACCTCTATAAAACAGGAAAATCAGGGTATTTAGAATTCAAAAGTAAGTAAGTAGCAGCAGTAAATTGTTTTTTTTTTAGATAAGAACAAAACGACCCGCATCAACCTAAGCAGAACACTCTTTCGCCTCAAAAGAGCAATATCTTCAAATAGGGCTTCTTCAGGGTCCGCAAGAACCAACACTCCAATTATATCTAAGCATAGACAAAATTATTAGAGCTCAAAACAAAAAATCCAAAAAATAAATCATGCAAGGACATGATATAATTACCAGACATGTAGGCATGATTGTGAACTGCATTGGGAAGATCAGCAGCATCCAAAAACCGAAAATTGTAGGCAGGTATGTCTTGTTCATTAGGGAGCTCTTCAACCACAGTGTCCTCACGAAAACAGATTCGGAGGGTGGCAGGAGAAACTCGATGGTCATCTTCATAGGGTCGGACATGAAAGTTAGTCAACTTGTAAATCCTTCCCTCATTTGGTAGAAAGGGATCAAACAATGGTATCTCATCCGTATCAACCAAGCCTTCAATCTTTGTTCCCTGAAACCACAATGGATTTCAATTCAGTGATGTCCAAAGTCCAGTCCCATCTAAAGCACGTACAACAAAAGAATAGAACAAACCTGCTTGTCGAGAAACAACATATGAAATTGTTCAATTATGATCCCATCAGGCCTCATTGTCTGCCATAGACGAAGCAGCCTAACACGAACAGTGGAATCATCATTGTGTTGATTGAGATGATGGGCTAGACTTAGGAGCGGCATGACATACGTGAATGAATGAAACAGAGCAACAGGGTTGAGTATTATCAAATGTTCTAACTGCCTGCAAATGCTCAATATATAGTGTTTAAATTAAACCTGGGTAATTGCTGGAAATAAGAGTGGATGAACGTGGGTGTGGTGTGGTGCAATGGGAGAAGGGTAACTATTATTTTTTTGGGTATAAAATATGCTTGAATAGAATGAGTGGATGACGTGGGAGGAATGGAAAAGCATATGGGAATGTTTACGACATCAGTAAGAAAACACCAATAATCTATTTTATCCTTTTTTACTTTAGTTTCATTAGATTATATAAGTAAACAAAAATTTGATATAATTGTTTGTGATTTTAAAGCTGGTTCATGTTTGTGCTTATCCCTCTGCCATTTTGGGCTTACTTGGGCCTTTTTTAGCCCGTAGGCCAGAATTAGTCTGGATCTTTTTTGTTTGTTTATTTTGCAGGGACTCTTTGGGCCACGTTGGGTTTTAGTTCTATCATAGCTTCTGGTCGGTGGTGACGGGCGTAACTTTTAACATGAGTAGGAGACTCGGATCCTAGGTGAAAGCACGGGAGCTTAAGGCGGTATGGTATAAAGGCGGAAACATATCCTTTATTTAGGCTTTAGTGTTTTTATCATTCTATTCTTAGGAACTAACATAACTGCCCATTTAGTGGGATAAAGGGCTCTTTCATCGTCAGTTTGATTAGTATCAACTGACGTTATTTTTACCTATTGTAAACATATCTGTCCTATTTCATCTGACTATGATATAAAAAAAAGGTGGATCACCTGCTTATGTGTTTGGTCTATCGCATGATGTTTGGAACCTGTTCAATGTCGAGAAAACACCACAAATGGTTCTTCCGAATTAAAAATTATGATACAAAATTAACAAATAAATATGAAGGATAAGCTAATTGGGAAACGTTGGATTGAGCTTATATTTTCAATTTATCAATCTTAGAAGTAGCCACAGTTGGTATAGAAGACTTGGGTTCGTGACCTGGGTCGGAGGTGGATTTATTCTTCATTGGTACCTTCGAATTCATGAAGGACTACAAATTTATCAAAGTAATAATGAAACATGAGCTGGCTGAGATTATCCAGAGAGCCCTCATACCCCTACTGAAACATGTCTTCCATATAATGAAAGGAAAGAAAAAAGAAAACACCACACTATTTGATTGAGGGTGCTTGAATGAGGAAATCAATAATCCATACAACCAAATTCAAACAAAGAAGTACTTATCATAAACGGAAAGCCATAAACTCCTTCAAAGAAAGAGTCAATGTTGCAAACTTGAGACACAGTAAAGGGAAAAAACTTCAGACATAGTAAAGGGAGTAAGGAAACACAACAAGTGTTTGGACACATAGAAAGCAACCTAGAAACAAACAGATGGTGGGCTATTCTATTTAGAAATCAAAGTCAAAGGCCACTTAGCAACAAAGAACCCAGTGGCCTCGCAAGTTCCAAGGAAGCACCATCACGCCAAAGGCATCTTTCGCTCGAGTTTGTTGTCAGGAGGCACAGACCCAGAATCTTCAGCTGTTGAGTGATGAGGAGGAGCTGTCTTTGTGCAGATTAGAGTCCGAACACTAAGATGGAAATGGTGGCAAGAAACAAAAATTAGTTACAGTAATTATGGTCTGCAGAACTTAGTGATCTGATTAGCATTCATGTCAAACACACCTGTGTTGGGTCTACTAGCAGAAAAAATGCAAGCTTAACCACATAAAAAAGATATACAGGCCTTATAAGAAAGCTTACCGTTGCTTCAAGCTCTAAAATTTTTAACATAGTGAAATCGGGTCGAGCATCACTGTATAGATTTGGCTTGAACTTCACATGGAACAGCTTGGTGACACCAACTACTTTGAGCAGATCTGCAGGGGGTTCCTCGTAGTTTTGACCAGTTCTATTGAATAGCTCATTAGCAGTCGGGCCAAAGAATCATTTCCCTTCATACTCGAAAATTATAAAGGTTGCTGACTTTGAATTGGCTTCAACCTCAAGCTGAATCCGATACCTGAAAGCACAGGAATGAAAGAAGTATAATTAGTTTAAAGAAGGTTGCAATTTTCGTATGACAGTCAGTTTGAGGCAACAAAAACAAAGAAACTTTACTTGGCAACTCTAATTGGAGTCGGCTTGTTGCATTTCACACAGTAGTATTCTCCATTCCTTTCTATGGGTTTAAGGACACAGGTTGGGAAACCCATGTAACACCAAAATGGCTTGATCCCCACTACTTTGCAAGTAACAGAATAAACACATCCCTAATAAATGTTGATTTGAATTAGTATGTAAGAATAAGTTGGAAATGGATAAGATTCAAGAACAAAACTTAATGTCACCTCACTGTCCTGATCCAGATGTAATTCAATCAATTCAGGCAGAGAAAGAGCAGGAATGGGGGCAAGTGGGGGCAGCTCAACATACATGGGTTGCTCTGGTTGTACATCCATTGAAGAAAGGAAATAAAGGCTTCAATGTAAACTGACTTAAGAATATACTGCAGATATTGTGTAGCACATACGAATTAGTAACAATACCTTGTTGTGAAAGCCTTCACTTCTGGTATATCAAGGTTAGGATACAGGACTGTTGACCCAGAAAAAGAAAAGGAAAGCTCACCTATAAAGTCCAAGTCAGTTGCTTTCTATCCATAACAAATACCATAAATTTAAGATGCGTGCATGGAATAATATCCTTACACTGGAATACTTTCACAGAAACAGCAGTGACTACCAGAATTACAAGTTGATCACCAACAGCTTTGGCTATTTTATCAAATTCAGTTACAACTCTTCCCCAGATAACAACTTTCACAACATCACCTCTACACAAAAGTTTGGAAACAGCTTCAGGTCATAGGTAATGAATAACTAAACTAAACTGAAGATAATACAATAAATTGATGGACTGAAAGTATACCCAACACAACAAAGTTTGATGTACAAACTTTCAAACAAAGTAACTCTAGATGAACAAAGTTTCTAGCAGCTAGCTACATGATTTGAGACATCTAACCTCTTTACTTATTAAGATCATGTGGTCCACGTCACCACACAGTGGGCAATAAAACACTTAACGTGAAAACCAACGCAATCCAAATTTCTAACAAAGAAACTCTTATTGACAAACTGACAGCATCTATTGTAATGACATCAGCTTAGCTAATATGTTAATCTATTAAGATAATCCAGTCCACACGACCAAACACTGGGCCATAAAAGACTTGAACAGAAAAGGCAGCTAAATCATGATATATGAGTTTTAACCAATACAAATTAATTGTCTTTATTATGATGTCTAGCTACCTTCACTTGTGTAAATAAGCTGACATAAATTATTTGCTTTCAAATGCTAACAGAAATTGGACTTGTACACAACAAACTATCAAAACTTATGATCAGATTCAACACTTAGTCGTGCTCTTCCAAGTGTAAGGATGGTAGGAATTTACTCAATCAGTTTCAGCTTAAGTTCCTTCCTAGTGGTTTTTCGAGAAAGATTGGTTGTGGTCAGGAGATTCGAGTGCTTCACCAATTCGCCAACAACATCTACAACACAAAAGAGGAAATTGACATTAGAACCAATTAACACCATAAGCAGCAGCAACCATGCATAATGAGCAAGGAAGTTACATGAGAGGATGTGGATTTGTCCCAATTTATCTTTCATCTCACTTGCTTTAGTGAAACTAAACTTGAAGGCAGGAATGGAAGGGATGTCAGGAACACGTTGGACAATAGTATCCGATTAAAAGTCATGATATATGAATTGGCAATAGGCCGATATTTGAGTTGGATCGAGTGATTTTCATAGTCCTTGAAAATGTAAACTTCTTGTTCCTGCAGTAGTACCTTGAAGTGCTCTTGCAGCACCGGTGGGATGTGGACCCATATATCATTTCTCTGACAATATTGAAACGAAAAGTTAAATGAAATCATTGATCTTGGAGGGTCAATGAAGAAACGAAGATCACTTTACAGAACATACGTACGTTGGAATCCATCAAGATCATGTCCAAATGCATGACTTTGTCTGTCATGACATTTACACCAAGCCAAAGCCTAGAGACATGACAATGGCTTGCCCAGATTTGTTTCTCAGACTAAAGATCTCGCATGCCATTGAAATCCATCTTCTACCTAGCAGAAATACATTAGTAAATAGTTATAAACCTGGGGAACTAAGTTGTTCTGATGGTAGGAAACAGATGGAGGTTTTTAGAGGAGAACATGTACCTGGTAACTTGACAGAGTGCAATATGAATACTGAGGTGAATCAGGGAACTTGAAGTAGATAAAGGCCGACCATTTTTGTGGTGACAGTTACCAAACAACCCACGTTGCCCATGAATAACAACATCTCCGGAGCGGTTACTGAGAGTGCGCCCTAGGGGTGGGCAACGGGAAACGGGTATTTGGGTATACCCATACCTGTCCTGTTTTTTAAGGGTTACGGGTACCCATATTATTCGTAATATTATAAACGGATGGGACTTGGGATTGTACATTCCTAATATGGGTACCCGCGGGTTACCCGCAAATACCCGTTTGGGTAATGTGGGTACCCGTTTTACCCATTTGCGAACTCTAATCCATAGAAAGGGAATGTCCACTTCGCCACAAAGATGAAACTTTTCTTAGTAAAGAAACAAAGAACGCTATGTGAGCATAATACTTGTAGTCTGCACTCTGCAGTGACATGCAGCCTAAACTCATCCCTATCCAAGAAGTACCATAGATTATTTTCATAGTTCAAAGTAGTCATCAATCGCTAAAGGAACCTCAGCGGTGTATGATTCCTTAACATTGAAATTATCAGTTACATTTTTCCTTCTACCCTGCTGACAATAGCTGAATGCATGCAGGTTACCCTGTATACCACTCAATGTATGATGACTTTGTCTGGATGGAGAAGTTTGGTGACCCTAATTTTCGCAGGCACATTGCAGGTGGGTAACTTGAGGTCGAATAATGGAGAATTTACATCTATCTTTTCAGATGGTATAAATTATGCTCAACAAAATCATTCTATTAGATGAGGGGATACAAACAGTCCATACCGAAGCCTTACTTGGACTGAGAAACTGATACAAAACTCTCCTGAATCCGAAAGAGAAAAGTGGCCATAATGTAGTGTCAAATGCAAGCTAAACTACATGTTAATCATGCATCTCAGCCTCAAGTTTAATTTTTTGACCTACAGTTGCAAGCATTTGGGGATATCTAGCTCTCCAGTTAGCTGACAAGGAAATTTTTCCTTTTAACTATCAGTCCTATGCTGAAGAGCTTCAGGTACGGCTATTTGTGCAGAACCATGGTACATCCCTGGTAACTAACTGGCTATCATGAGAAAACTTAGTATCTATGTCTTTAATCCATGTATAACAGAGAAATGCAAAGGAGTTGGAAGATCAGATATCAAATCAGATAACAGTTACTCCCTTTTGTTAAATGAAACTTCTTATTTGATAATTTGGTGCTTAGAATGATTTATTTCTATGCGTTGTGATTGTTCATGATTTGTGTCTTGTGATTGTTAAGCAAGTACAAGTTAAGTTTAAACTTTTGTTAAAATTTGAGTGGTTTAAACTTTGGGTATTTATGGGTAGTATGGGTACCCGTTATCCGTCCCGTACGGTTAATGGGTACCCTTTTCCCATATGGGTTTGGGATATGGGATGGACTTTGACCTCCAAATGGGACTGGGTACCCGTTTAAAACGGGACGGGTATCCCTTCCCATCCTGTTGCCCACCCCTAGTGCGCCCTGCGTCAGTTGTCAGGGCGATGCGGAACTCAGTAATCTGATGGGAGAAAGAGTAGATGTGGCGGTTATCCCCAATTTCAAATACAAAATCATAGGCATTCACCGAAAGCAACTCAGTGGAGGAATTCGACTGTTTCCCGGTTCCGGCAACAATGAGAATCCCTATCTGTGCCTGGTTAACAGAATGGAGGTGGAGTTTGGTTTTCTCTTGTAAATGGGCACCGAAAAAGTTGGGAGAACCTAGTCGACGGTGGTAGTCAATTAATCTGGACATGAGGGCCGCAACCTACTCCACCTACTGCTTTGAGAAAGGAAGTGTATACCGCAGTTGATTGTGGGTTGTAGATGGCCCATAATCTGAAGCAGGCCCATGTGTAATACTCTTCTTGGCTTTTTAACTTGCTTGGGTCAATTTATATATCTTAAAATCAAATATATTGAAGTCTTTCTGGAAAAAAGGCATGGCACATGCGTCTGGCATTCTTTATTTTTAACAGATGCTACAGTTTAAGTTTAGTACATAGTCATAATTCAAAATTTTCATATAAAAATCATATCAATCCCATGGTTAGTACAATATGGTACATGTATGTTACATATAGAATACGAACGGATTACACTTCATTTTTAAACTAATGTTATGTTTAATAATAAGTAAATAGTCATAAAATATAAAAAATTAATTATTATATATATGGATAATAATTAAGTAAGCAATTTAATTTTTTAAATACGGTATTGAACGTGTTATACAGGTTTTATATGTGCTTAGTACGGGAGCCATCAAATAAACTGTAAAAAATGAAACAACTTAATGATAATACAAATATGGATAAATCTATTTTTTCCTTAGAAACAATAATGCCCCAAGACAAAACTAATCAACACAGCACCATGCAATATAGTCGTCTGTATTTATTCAATATCTAATTAAAAATCTAATTTTGCATTATGGCTTTTCTTGTGATCATTTCCCACATCAAATTATTTTTTGTCTATCGTGACTTGCATTCTCCAGATGAGTGGCTATGCTAGTATGGCTACTTATAATCACAGCGCCATGCAATACAGTGGTCTGTATTTATTCAATATCGAATTAAAAATATGATTTTGCAAAATTGCTTTTCTAGCCTATCATTTCCCACTAAAGGGGCCTAAGTTTTATGACAGGATCATTGAAAGTTAGAGGTCAATAAAAAAAAATACATATGTCAGAGAACAATTCACCTCTAAACCAACAGTATATACCCATGGAAATAAGGAAAATAAAAACAAACGTCATGATGAGTAGTTTAACAAAATGAATAGCACAAACTTGACGCCTAACAATTGTCCATCCTAAAAATAAATTGTCATGATAAGTAAAAACTAAAATGAAGCTCAAATAAATCATTCAAATATTTTTGGGAATACTATGTTCACCTTGAGGTGTCATCCTCTCCATTCTCATTGGCACACAAAATCTTCAATCCTTGCTTTGTAGTAACTCTTGACAATGCAACATATAGTTGACCATGACTGAAAACTTGCCTTTGAAGACATAAACCAACATGGGCTAGTGTTTGGCCCTGACGTTTGTTAATAGTCATGGCAAAACAAAGAGAAACAGGATATTGCCTTCTAATGAGGGTGAAGTTAAGACTCTTGTAATGGGTTGATAATGTCAACCCATTGGTACCTGTCAAATGGGAGGAAGACGCGATCACCTACATTGGTACCTGTCAAAATCTCCACCTCAATGAACCATTTACCCAAAGTCTTCACAACCATTCTGGTACCATTACAAAGGCCAACTGTTTGGTCCATATTGCGTAATAGAATACTGGACACCCAACTTTCAGTTTCAGGTCATGGTCAGGGAAGTTTCCAATCTTGAGGTTGTTCAAAAACTCAGTAGAATAATCAGCATCCACAACTCCCTCCTTTCCAGGGTCCACCTCAATAGTATCTGAGCTGCAATATGTCACTTCATCCCCTGGAAATTCACTTAGAATATACTCATTCACTGCAGAAACCATATCATGCTGTGGAGCCAAGATAGCTCGATGCACCAAATAATTATGATCTCTTGCATGACTCTTAAGATCACCGTATATAGAAGCGACAATATCAGTAACATGATCGATCTGTCAAGGAATTATTAATTCCTGGGGTATGGAAATGAAAGACTCACCAAACACATATGAATCTACTCCATCTCCAACTTGCAATAGCCCTTTCTGAAAAGTAGTTATCTCAACAACTTCTTCTGGAGAGAAATTAGATCGTGCTAGCCTCATATTCTCAACCAATTTAATTACCCTCAAATGGTGCCAAAGGTAAGATCTCTTTATAGATGAGTTCACAATATCAGCTCATGAAGCTTTCAATACTATAGGCAAAGTTTGCCTAAAATCTCCTCCAAAAATAACTGTAAGACCTCCAAAGGGCTTCCCGTGACTATTTTGATACCGAAACCGTAAGATATCCCGCAATGATTTATCTACAGCTTCCACGGCATGTTTGTGTGACATACCAACTTCATCCCAAATAATCAATGAAGCACGTTGAATCAGCTCTGCTAATTCGCTTTGCTGGTCAATCTGACATGTTTATCCACTATCAAGGTCTAATGGAATGTAAAATCGAGAATAAGTTGTTCTGCCCCCATCCATTAAAAGGGCTGCAATCCCAGAAGAAGCTACACATAGAACAATCTTATTTTCCGACCGCAATTTCAAGCAAATTACTTTCCACAGAAAGGTCTTCCCTATCCCACCACATCCATCAATAAAGAATGCCTTTCCATTATATGCATATACTGATTCATTAATTTCATCAAAAGCTATTTTTTGTTGGGTATTGAGCTTGCAAGCAATACCTTCAAATTTCTCACGAAGGCTTGCAGCATTGTAGTTAAGTTCT